GTAAATTAAAACATACTAAATGTGAAAGAGACAATTCACTTCTTTGGATTTCTGAACTTCAAATAATTTTTTCATGCAAGTTTTTTTCTCACTTCAGTAAGTTTTTTTTTGTACTCATATTTAATTGAGTGTGGGAGTAGCATGTCTCAAGGAATAGTTCATCCTTTTTTCTTCTAAAATATGTATATTGCCTGTTTATTTTAGCCGAGACAACACAAGTCCCAAGTCTGTATATTTACTCTCATTTCTTCACTTCTAAGAGTCTAGTCACCACATATTGCATACATATTCCCAGGAGATATCCTAACATAGAATTTTATTGGTTTTAATTATAGTTTATAAGTTAAAAATAGGGAAGCATTTGATTTTGATTGATCTATAACCAAAATTTGCCATTTTGTGCAACATGTGCAACATTTTGACGAAAAGAGGGCCAAAAAATAACCTTGAAGATGCCTGCATTATTTGAGATTTTGGCGTATTTCAATGGCCTGAAAAATGGATGGGGTAGGGGAGTGCCATACCTTTTGAGCTTATTCCAGTTACCATTTTAATCAAATGAGTGATGACATATTTGGTATCATCTTAAAGCTTGTAACGTGTGCTTCAATTTGATACCCATATTATGACATCAGATGGTATATTATGGCATCACAATGGTACCAAACAACCTTAAATGGAAAAAGAAGCACCAAAATTTCGGCAAAATAATGGTGCGACTCTAACATTCTTTTGACAATTCACTACTTACCACAATAAATGAATGCAAATCTTATTGAGGCATACTTCCAATGTATGATCTGATGACTGGCAAAAAGTAACTTGGATGATAGTTATTGTCAATAAGATTACATACACCATATTGTATCTGTCATTTATAACTTGGATTTTTATTAATTACGTCAAAATGTTGCATTTGTCGCACAAAATGGAAAATTTTGATTATAGACCAATCAAGATCAAATGTTTCCCTATGTTTAACAAATTAATTAAAATCAAAACCAATGAAATTCTATGTTAGGATTTCTCCAAGGAATAAGCATGCAAAATATGGTGACTTAAAAATGAAGAAATGAGAGTAAATATACAGACTTGGGACTCGGCTACTAGGAACTTTCTACTATATACTGTGTTATATGACCCAAATTAGCCACCTGATGGTGAAACTGGTAGCTACCTACTGTCACCTCTGCCTTGAGTGGTCATGATTGTTCTTGTGATCATATCCTGCAATTTGATTGGACATCATGAGATCATATACTGATGGGCATGGTTTAAATAAGTTATGTTCATGAATACTAAGGAATACCAAAGAATTATGGGAGCTACTCACCTCTTTTGGCCACTGCCTGGTTATTACTTGAACTTCTATCATATTATGTTCAAAATGATGACACTCTTTTGGGAGGCCAGGGGAACAGGGCAAATTGCCTGTTTTACCTGCAATCTTACCTCCCAGTTACTTGCTGTATCATAACACCATCAGCAACTTGATGGTTTACATACCATATTGATGTTGTTGCCTTGGATACATAAACATCTTCAACTAAGGCCAGCAGGAGATTTGGGAAATGTTAACCCTTTGATGACCATGATTTACCCTTTTCAAGAAATTGTTTTGGTTGCGCTTCATCTATACTCTTTCACCGAGAAATAATTCTTTAATCTAGTCTAATCAGATTGGGTGAGGGTCTTCATGCCTGTAGCCAGAAATTTCCTAGGGGGGTCCACTTTGGCAAATTTTGCCAAAAATCACTCAAAAAATAGTCAGAATGGTGAAAAACTGCATGATTTTGAAAGAAATTTTGAATCTGAACCCCCCTGGCTACAGGCCTGGTCTTGAACACAATGATTGGTAATGCAAATTCCATAACTTTAAAATTCAGTGGGACCCAGTGTTAGCACATATGGTGATCTGAATCTCAAGCTCTCTCTTAGAGTATGGATGACCTTCTCAAGTATTAGGTAAAGTTTAAAGACTGAGGAATTAGAGTGCCAGCAACCAGGGTAAAGAGATAAGAGGCCATAAGGTCAGAATTTAGGATTTTACTTTTGAAGATGAGTATTAAAGAATTAACTGTGTGTCTCGGGTTCTTCAAATCAAATGTTTTCATATTTCTCACCAGATGTATTTTTGCCTATGTTCTGTTTTTCTTATATAGTATAGTATGCTACACATGTGTTGGTGTTATATTGGTGTGATGCTTATTTTCTTATATAGTATAGTATGTTTGTGTTTGTGCTATATTGGTGTGATGTATTCGGAAGCATGTAGGAATACATGATTGGAAATTGGATTCTGAGATAAACAGACTGTCTATCTCTAACTTTTACCCTTTGGTAGATCTTCACCTCACAATGGTAAAGTAGAAAAATCTGTAAAACCGATTTCAAATAAGTTACCCTTTGCATTCGTTCGAATTCACTTCTTATTAGAGAGCTACGTCTTAACTCTTTCAATTTACAATAAATCTCTGATCTCACTGAGCCAATCAGGGTTCGTCGTCGAAATACAGACGACTTTCAAAATAATGGTCATTTCCTCTGACATCACCGCATAGGTCATGGGTGCTTATTTAGCATGTGTTCCTTCCACTTCGCTGATTGGTTGGGAAAGGGTCAGCGTGGTAGATTTGGAATGATTTATTACCCGGGCTGTCACAGGCACCAATCTTCAGGGCTGCTAAACTGTAATATAGTCTATACTAGGCAGAGGGTAGTTTATAACTAGACTATGTGCGCAAGGTTCAAATAAGTGGATGTTTCTCTTCATCTGGAGTCAGTATTGAGTCCTGCAAGTTTTTCATCATCTAACGTAATTGAGAATGTTTTCAAATAACATTAAGGCATTTACTAATATATTAAATAGAAATGTCACCATCACAAGTGGTGTCTTATTGTTATACTGTAGTCGCCAACTTTTTGATCAATGGTGTTTGGTGTTCGGTGATCCAGGTTTGGTGTTTGGCAGTCAGCATCTGTAACAAATGGCAAAAAATGCTATTTTGCAAGTTATAGCCCCTTGTCTCATGTTATAATTTGTTCAAAAGGTAGAATTCCTATATATGATCTATATATAAACAGCTTGGGATATTTAGGCCTCCTTTGGAAGAATTCTAGTTATTTTCTTTGATGTAAGAATCCTCCAGATAGGGTTGGAAGTAATTAGTGAAGATGAAGATAAGCCACCTAGCAAATCTTATGTAAACTTACTTACCAGCCCTTACAAAAATCTAATTATTACATTTTGATTTTGAATTCAATGTTGTTTTTTACTAGAAAGGTGAGTTAGTTTTTAAGTAAATTTTTATTGACTAGGTTACTTAGCACTCAAATAATAATTTGTAATTATACTGAGAAAATCGTATTTTAAAAAAAAATTTGGGGGAGGGGTTGATATTATTTTGATTGGTCAGCTGATCTTGTCAATCAACTTACAAATGAGTTTAATGAGTTTATTTTTATAAAAGGTTGTTTAACTAGATGATTATCTATGAAATCATTATGATATAATAGCATGTCCTGTTCTTACAACATCATTTGTTACAATTAACCCCCCCCCCAGTAATTCAAGCAACTGTATTCAAGTTCTATAATGTTTGTGTTACCCTGTGCCTAACAGGTAGAAATGAAGTTCTTCCATCGAGTTCTTCCCTAGAACCTCTTAACTTGCAAATACATCCACATTTATCTCATTGTCAGGTACACCCATACATATTGCACCAATGCATATTATACCTGTATCAGGCCCGTAGCCTGGGCCTAGCCAAAAATTATTGCAAAATCATGCAGTTTTTCACCATTCTGAACACTTTTTTGATTTATGATTTCGGACCAAAATTGTTCAAAGTGAACCACCCCCAGATTTTTTGGGCAAAAGCTGGTACCCACTTGATAACCCATATTAGACCTTTTCAAGAAATAAATTTTGAAAATCATTCAAAATAATGATGCATTAACCAGTTTAGACATTTTTAGTCTGAAAAATGAAAATTTCATCCAGGAGAGAGAGTACTATCTATAGAACTGATATTATCTTCGTGCTTTGTGAAATGCCAACACTGATAAGCACCTGAAACCATCTGTATATTGTAGCTCTGGGTCGCAGTAACCACTAAAACAATTACTATTCTAATAGAAATAAGATTTTTCAATATAACATGAAATTGTTTTTTATGTCTTGATTTTTTATTGTTCTATTTTTATTTATGACTCTGCTATTTCTGTAATAAATTTCTTGGGTAACTTGTAATTAATATCTTATTCAGATTAATCTACAGATTACATATTTTTTATTTGTTTATTCTGTCATGGCTGTTTAGATTGCACATTCAATCTATTACTTATGTCATTTTTGCAATATATTATGTAATAGAATTCAGATAAGTTATTTGGTAGTTTAGTTGAGAGGCTACCCTGTGTGAGAGCTTGACTTAATATTTCACTCTTTAAACCAGAGATGATTCAGAGATCTACCAAAGCCAGCCAGAATATGTTGTCAGAAAATTTGTGATGTTATATTTTCTATTGAGAATTTTTGTCAGAAAAATTGGTTGAGGGTAGATTAATAAGGTACCTTTTACCAGAATGTTATAGCAACATTTTTCACCTTTTATTTTGCGGATTAACTTTTTGAGTTATAGAGTCAATCAGAGCTTATCATCCTTTAAATAAGGTGCCAAAATGTTTAAATAAAAACTAGTAAGAGGTCTGTGTCTCTGCATTGTTCTTTGTTCTTTGATAGGTTGATCAACTAACTAGCAAATAATAACTCTTAGTCAGAGGGCAATGTACTGAGTAGCTGCTGTGATCAGGGTAGTATCCAACTGCATGTTAACAAATTCAAGGTTTAAAAAATTGTAATGTCATTTATTCTTATGTTTTAGGTGACAATCTACACTGTCCACCACTAGGGAGACCGTACAAATGTAAAGTATTAGCCTACTACCCAGAACAAGTACCATGAATCCCCTTAATAATGTGACTTTTTTATGTTATAGGTGACAATCTACACTGTCCACCACTAGGGAGACCGTACAAATGTAAAGTATTAGCCCACTACCCAGAACAAGTACCATGGAATCCCCTTAATAATGTGACGTTTTATGTTTTAGGTGACAATCTACACTGTCCACCACTAGGGAGACCATACAAATGTAAAGTATTAGCCCACTACCCAGAACAAGTACCATGGAATCCCTTCGACCAAGCAGCTGTGGGAATGGTATGTACACGTTTTTGTTATGTTACTACTTGTGACGTATTGTTACAGTTTCCATTTTTTGTGACAGGTATTCATTGTCAGTTTTGGCATTATCATATCAGGTACCAGTGTCTGTAACAAATTGTCACAGTTTGGTAACTACAACCAGATGTGACATTTTGTCATATTAACACCTTGTTTAGGTATTGTTCTCTCGAGGATTTCTCTAAACTCATGGGTTCAAAAATCTTATTTCCAAATCTCAAAATTTGCAAGTATCAGCCAACTACCAAGATTGAGCACCATAGAACACCTTGGACCCATTCTGACACATTGCCATTTTCTGTTTAATCCCTCGTGCAATTTTTCTAGAAAGTATCTAGGAACTGAAAGACGGCACAAATAATAATGCCTGTAGTCAGCTATATAAATGGTTATGTGCACGTTTCTCTTTGGTTAAGATTTTATCTCAACTTGTTGCAAAGTTGTTATTTATGTATTCTGACAAGGAATATTGTCTTACGATAGTCAGATTTTTTGACATTTTTCATGGTGTGATTTTCAAGTTTTGAGTGATAATGAGTACACTTATCCAATTTTTCATCTACCACAGTCCCTTTATATCTAGGGCTAAGGGGTGTAACGTCGACACCATTTTGGGGTAACTTCGACATGTGGGGTAATTTCAACACCTTGTTGTTTATTTGCTCTAATTTCCGATCTAGGGGGAAGCCATGTTTTTTTCTCGCATGGATCGAGATCTCGTGAGATTTTAATTTTTCCAGAAATCAAACATGGCAGAAAATGGAAATTCTACTTCTAATAAGTAAGTGTCTTAGTTACCCAGTCTCTTATGTCGACATTACCCCACAGGTCGACGTTACACCCCTTTGCCCTAAAAGCTGGCAGCTTTTCCCAAGGGGCAGGGTCACGTAGAAAAATACCAAGGAGTTCACAAAAATCACTTGAAACGTGCTTAGAATGGTGAAAAACTGCATGATTTTGGAATAATTTTTGGCTGGGGGGAAGGGGTACACTCATAACCCCTTCCCCCCTCCCTTTCCCTCTCACAGGGCTGCTGGTTAAAGCATGAAAATTGATTTCATTCATGGTTTCATTTTTAACTTATTGATAACTCATTTGGAATACCATATTTGCTCGGAATATTCAATTATCCAATTGATTTATAATTGAAGGTATTCTTGCAGATGAAATACATTTATGTGTTAAGTACGTTTATGGTCATCAAATGTCAGTGACGTGAATTTGTTTAATGAACGATTTGATAAATAGAGAAGTAAGACATCTTCATCCTGCTTTAATCCGCTTCGTCTGATACAGGAAATTTTTCTTTGGCCAGCTATCTATCAAAACAATAGACATAAAAGCAGAGAACAGCAATGTTACCTGTTTATATAGTTGCATTCTATTGTTATATTTTTGATATATTGTAGAAAGTTCAATTTTAATGTTTATATAGTTGCATTCTATTGTCACGCGGTAGTATCTCTTCGGGACGTATCGAAACCACTCCGTCCCGAAAAACCGTTAATTTGAATTTAAAACCTACCCCAGTGTTTGAAAATCAAGGATTGTGAGTCTCACACTTCACCGTTTTTCTTCAAACTTGTTCTGTACAAAGCTTCACAGAAATACCTTTCAGTCGATACATTGTTTTCGTGTACAAAGTACCTCGTTTTAGCGGCGTTTTGGTCCCCAGCTGCGAGATAAAGCAAATTTTCATAACTTTCAACTTTAAGTCAAGTTATTTCGCCAGTCTTTTACCCCTTCTCGCTCATAATTTCAGAATGGACTCCCATTACAACCTTCCATCGCTACGTTTTGATTTTTGGGCATCAAACGCAGCAGTTTCTAAATCATCCACACATCTCGTAAAATTTGACTAATACGTCCCGTCACCTTCAACTACGCCCCGCCGAGTCTATGACTACAAACGTGGAGTTGTATTCTAAAACATTTTGTTCATCGTTGTGTAATTTTACATATTTGATTTGATTTGAAAACTATATTTATTCTGGGTAGCTCTATCAGTACAAAAACTGGTCTTCCTAGAGGCCCAGTAATAATTTACAATTATTTACAATGTGTACAATAAATATAGAAACATACAAATAGATATATAGGACATATAGAACAATTTGATATATATGCATCTTCAAAGTATGCATTTACATGAAACATAGAGAACAACTTATAAGAGAATAACATAAATATAAGGAACAATGTCTTTAAAATGCATTTACATGATTTTCATTTTCTGATCTGATACACTTGTTTATATGCTTTCTTAAAAGAGTTTACAGAATCAGACTCTTTGACGGTCTTATCAAGCTTGTTCCAAAGATGTGAACCACTGTATGATATGCTTTTCTTAAATATTTCAAGTTTTGGTTTTGGTACATAAAGTGAATTTTCCACAACTGCTCTAGTGGCATAATTATGGACAGACTTTGTCTCTTTGAAACAGTTTTGAATATATGGGGGAGAGATGCATGAAATAGCCTGGTACATTAAAATTGATTTCCTATATCTAATCATTTCCTGAATTGGAGTCCAATTTAGGGACTGAAATAAAGTGACACTTGACAGGCAGTGAGCCACTGGGTGAAAAAGACCAATATTTGTTTTCTGCGCAGGTTTTCTGCGCATCTTCTTTCGGCTGAAACATTTAGGCTATTTTCATCCCGAAATACTCTCCAACTATCAAAGTACTCGTAACCTACGTCTGGCGAACTTATTGAAGAACATTTTAAGACCGAATTCGTGGAAATTGATCAATTATATCGAGTATAACTTGCCGATTGAATTTTTTTTCGAAAAATTGATCTTCCCTTTTTCGTAGATTTTGACTAAACGCCGACTCTGCCCCGATTTTATTTTTTAACTAAACGATTGCCATTAATGTCATGTTTCCAAATAACGTAAAACCACAAGTGAGCCTTGAGTGGCCCGATGAAGATACACTTTTTCTTTTTCAGTTTTGTAGATTTATCGAAAAAAACAAGATGGCGGCCGAAATAATTTTTCGAAAAGTCCAATTCCAAGGAGGATTGGCTCCCAGAGTGCACCACCGATATTCTGTCCCATATATGGGTATGTCGTAATACAAAATTCGAATTCAAACAGCCGCCATTTTGTTCACTTCAATATTTAAATCGTGAATTTTGGTCTTATTTCCAAACGAAAAATTCCAAAACTCACAAGAAATGATCGAGATATTGGTTCGAATCTTTTGAACTGTTTATTTTGAATTTATAGTCGGTTTTAATTTCAGAAAATAACGACATTTCGACGTTTTCATTGTTGGAAAATATCGAGTTTCGATCCTGGGAGCCAATCCTCCTTGGTCCAATTCAGAATATATTTTCTTTGATACTAACATAAACAGAGTCGTATTCAATTTTTCGAGGTTATAATTACTAAATATAATGTTTATAACTTCTATTCCAGCACCAGACGAATGCCTAGGTTCGTGAATCGTGTAAAAATCGTCCATGATTGATTATTTCAATTTTTCAAGAATTTTTTTAGAATGTTTTTGTCATTATCCGCTTCGTACATGTCATACCATCAAAATACTATTGTCAAATGATATATTGTTATTCTTCAATTAGTGTTTTGAAAACGGTTATCGTACACTATAAAAAAGTTCTATATGTAGAGTTTTCAGGTGAACCATGGGTTCCAGATGGTGGTAGTCCATGGGTGAACAGAAAGTAGAAAAGTCAAAACTGACTGGGAGTCATGTACACCACAGAGTGGGTAAAGGCTAGAGACCAAGAACTGAACCAAATAATAACGACAAAACAATCGATTTGGACACCAAGGGCTACTCTTTCCATCAAAAAGTTCATGTTTTCTTGACATAGACATGTAGCACTGGGGCTAGTGCAGTAGTGTGAAGACTAAACTAGCATTTCATATTATCAGCATATTGTGCACTAAGAAAGCAAGGGGATTCAAATTCAAAAATATTTCTCTATCTATGTATGCGTACAATACTGAAATGCTATCCTACATGGATATTATAACAGAATAAAGTATTTGCTTAGTTCATATACAAAGTTATATATATTTATCAAAAGATCATGATTTCCATGTCTTTGCTAAGCTTTATTTCATGGAATGTTATCATTATATATTGTGATATACTGCAGTGAAACTGGTAAAAAGTTACATATTTCAGTATTTGTAAAATCTTTGTGAATACTGAATAGTATACAGATTCATATATCATTAATGCAAAATAAAAAAGCAGTTGATTCTTTTGGGCTCAAATGTACACACAAAACATAGCACCTTTCATACAAATGTTCATGAGCTATTTGAAACCTGTATAAAGCAAAAAATAAAACAATACTACATTTGCAATACAAAAAACTTCCTAAATGCCAATTAGCATGTTCCCATACCAAATAATTTTTACAAAGTACTTGTTAAGTGTATTTTCACCCAAAAGAAATACCAAAATGTTCAAATATAGGTCAAATGTCATCATTTGAAGCAAAATATAGAAAATGCTAGAACTTGGGTAAAATGTACTATAGTAGCCAATGGCACACTTATGTGAATAACAGTACAAAGCAATAATGAATTGCCTCAAATACCATGATTGTTTAGAGAATTGCACTTTACTTCAGTATTCGTTACACACATGAACATCTTTCTTTATATTTACTTGCATAACATGGCTTTACTTGTAAATACCCATATATCTGTAAGCCATAGATATACCATTGCATAAATTTACATATATTTGTACCTAATGCTTCATGTTATACTAATATGTTATTCAAAATTTTTGTATTGACTTCTGACTATTTCTAACTACTGAAACTTATTTTCTCGCTTACATATTTTCATTGATTTAATACACGTTATATAACACAGGGCTTAATAATAATAACCGCCTGTAAAAAAGGAGTAAATGTTCATATATATCATCTGAGCAAGATCATCTGTCATATAAATTTAGCAGAATATGCATGTATTGCATTCAG